ATGCAATAAGTGAGGGGGTGCTTATGCTCACTCTTTTTTCTTTTTTCCATCCATTGTTTTGTCATCATCAAAAAGGGGGAGAATATTGATTTTAGTCCCTAGCTTTTGATGTTTATAAAACAAATGGATGATATTAATATCTTTTCAAGATATACCTTCAGTTATGAAGCAAATCAAATTCAAAAATCAAGTGCTATTGAAAGAAACAAATGTTACTGAAAGCTGTCAGATGCTTGTGAAGACAGGATCGGACGTTCGATAATCATTGCGAACTTCGGCCGCATGAAGAACTCCATCACCGGACGTCTAAAGGAAATAAGACATTCCCCTAACTCACTGATGTCGATCGAACGCAAGTATCGGACATCCGATAGAATTTTTCAAACTCTTTGTCTGCTATTGGACGGAAGTACTGGACGTCCGATAGGATCCTTCAAACTCGACGAAAGCTATCGGATGCTCACAAAGACAATACTGGACATCTGATAGAATTGAAGAAAATTTCTCAAACTCACTGCCTGTTGTTGGATGCAAAAAAAAGGAGTACCGGACGTCCGACACTCCCAACGGCTAGTTGACTCTTTAGCTATTTTCTATCTGTTGGAAGCATTAATGAAACACTTTCTTGGTCTCCTATAAATAAAACATTGTCAGAAATTCCAAATAACTTTTGTACACTGAAGATACAAAAGATCTAGAGTAATTTTAGTGAAAAAATACTTTTAAAAAAAAATTTGTAGTTTTGGTGGTGTGAAGTTCGTTGCAAGTTTTTCATTTGTGAGTGAATAATTCAATAGTACAGTTCTGTGAGAGTTGTTCTCAGGAATAGTAAAACTTCCTAACTTGACCGAGTGGAACTTGGGTAAGGAGGAAGCAAACCTTTTTTTGTACACAAGATTGGTTGTATTTCATCAAGTTGATAAACTTGTTATATGAATTGATCTATAAGCTCAAGAGGAGTTTGGTAGTCAATTGGTTTGCAATTCTTTCTTTCTTATTTACTTATTATTATCTTGTTATCTTTAAATTACTTATCTCTTCTACTCCCAAACAATCTTATTTTTTTACTAATTGATTCATTATGTGGTCACCTAGAAAAGAGAGTAAATTTCGTATTGAACAAAAATGTGTTCATAACTTGATTAGTTTTTATAATCAACCTAATTCACCCCCTCGTAAGCTGTTTTCGATTCTTACAATTGGTATCAGAGTTTGGTTTTCTAAAGATTAAATTCAATCAGTTTTGGAGTAAAAATGACAACCAATAATGTCATATTTTTTGAGGGACAATCCGTCACTAGACCCCCAATGTTTAATTGATCCAATTATGTGAGTTAGAAGGAAAGAATGATCATTTTCTTGCAATCTATTGATATCGAACTTTGGTTCATTGTCAATGAAAATTCATATGATGCCTCTATACTAGATGAAGCCACTCATAGACCGAGACAAAAAACTAGAAATGAGTTGACTGGTGAAAACAGAATTCACCTTACCTTGAATGCTAAAGCTATGAATGTGTTGTATAGTGCCTTAGATTCAAATGAATCCATTAGGGTCAAAGGGTGTAAGTCCGCTAAAGAAATTTGGGACAAATTTAGAGAAATCATGAAGGGAGTGAGAATGTGGAAGGACGAAAACAGTCTATTCTGGTTACCAAGTATAAATCGTTCAGATGAAATTTCAGGAAAACATTGATAAGATGTATTGTAAGCTTAAATCCAAAGTGCAAGAAGAAGAGGATGCAAAAGTAAGAAAGAGCATTGCTCTAAAGGCATCACAAGATGAAAATGATTCTGTTTGGATGAAAAAGATGCGGATGTTGATGACAGTGATCTAACTCTCATCACAAAAAGTTTCAAAAGAATTTTCAACAAACGAAGGTTCAGAAAAGGAGGAAACAACAACTCATTCCCAAATTAGTTCGGCAATGCAAGAAACAAAGGGAAGCAAGATTCAATAAAAGCAAACTGATAAATGCTTTGAATACGGCCAACCTGGACACTACGTGAGTGAGTGTCTAATGAAGAAAAAGAAGGAAGAAAAGGTTGAACGAAAATCAAAATTCAATAACTTTCAAATTACATGAAATGATTGCAACTCAGAAGATGAAGTCGAAGAAGAAGAGAAATCTGTCCAAATGGCTTTCATGGCCATTGGTGATGATAAGGTAATTACTTGCAACTCTCAACCTATTAGTGATGATGAATCTGAAGATGATGTTGAGTCTTTCATTGAGAGATTGCATAATAGCTTGAAAGAATTGTATGCTAGAAACTAGGAAGTAAAACAGAAAATTAATTTTTTGATTCAAGACAATGCAAATTTTTTCGACAAAACAAAATGCTAAAAGCTAAAAATGACTGCTTGAAAAAAGATGGCTATGTTCTACTTTTTGAGCTTAATAGAAAAACAAAACTGTGTGAGTTGTTCAAAAAGGAACAAGGTGACTTGTAAAGAAAAATGGATGACCTAGATGAGTTGTTTAAACACAAGAAATAAGATTGCTTTTAAAAGAGTGAATCAAAACCTCACTTTGACATTCACAAGAAAATGTTGAACTCTAATGCAAATGAATTTAACATCTATAGAAGAAGGCAAGTTAGATATGTCAAACCTGTCTTTGTAGGAAATTCACTGACTATGTGTAGCTTTTGTTGCCAAATTGGTCACATGAAAAATAATTGTTATGTAAGAAAAAATATGAGAAATGACATAAAATGCATGTGAATAGTTAGACATAATGCTAACTCTCAAGAATTTAATTGATAATTTCCATATTCAATTCAATTATCAGAAAGTATGATTGCGAGCTGATTTTCTTAAGGCCCCAATACTCTGAATCAAGGCGAAGTACTAAGAAGCACATATGCACTACCTTCATGGGGGCAGCTTCAATTCCAGTTTGAACTTTAGACACTTCTAATCTTGTCAATTTAGCATCCTATACAATATAATAATCATGATGATTGCTTTCATCATAGTGATCTTAACTGGAACATTTCTTTCTGTACTATGGGTGCTGATTGAACGAAAAAAGAGAGAAAGGTTAAACCTAGAAAATGTTTTTTTTTTATTTTCTGGTTTTGCAAATGTTGGAAGATTCTATTGCGCCACTTGAACAGAAAATTATTTGAAAACTTCATGGGATTTAAGGGGACCAAAGTAATGAAAGGATGCATGATTTTATCAGTTGACTCACAATTTTTGTCATTTGTAAACCCTTTCGCACATGCAATACCTTTCTAGCTGTGCTCTTACAATATAGAGGGCATGTACTTTCAATACTTACCCAAAAAGGACATGTACTTTCGATTCACAATCACTCATTCTACCACAGTAATCCTGCGTTTTTCTTGGTAGTATTTAATATAACCATTCCCACCAAACAATATAAAGAATAGAATAATTAGTTTCTCTCTTTTTTTATTTTTCTCGGTTGACAATAAGTTAATAATATGGGTTTTATTCCCTAAACAAATTCCAAAAAGTGCAAACCAATGAACCTTATTTTGGCGCATTGAAATGATAATCCATGCAATATTATACAACTAGTGTTGGCTATTTCATGTCTACGATTCCCCGTTCCTAATCTAAAGAAATTAAGACGAATATATTAGAGTTTGGGGATGTGATGATCAAGATGGCATCTTGATTAATTGGCAATTTTCATGTTAATTATTCCCCTAAGACGGCAATGGCAGATTTATATTGTTAGGGCCTTAAGCAAGCTATAGAGCTAAGATCTTTTTCTTTTTTTTTTAATTGATTCCATTTACCAGGAGGAGAAAAGAAAGAAAAATTGTTTATCTCAACATTGACAAATTTCTTGGTGTAAAGCTAATTGACTTTGAATGCTGATGCAACACATCAAATTTTAGCTGTATGAAGTGTTAGTCACTCTATATGCCAAGATTTTGAAACTTAATTGACTGTAATACAAATAGTTAATACTCTCTCATCTCAAGCTAACTCGAAATCTATTTGTGGGAGTCATTTTATTCATTTCTCTTCTTTTCTCTGACGTTCATTGTGCTTCTTGTTAGATAATCAAACCTAACAAGGGTAATTTTTTCCCTAATCTTTTTGGATTAGTAAGTCAAAATTTACATTTTGATAAGTGTTCTTTAACTCTAATTTCACTTTGGCCTATTAATTAGGTTTAGGGAAAATATAGTGGATGTTTATTTAATTATCTTGCATATGAAGAGGCAATATCCTATCTTGGAATATGAAACAATCTGTACATTGCCATAGCCAAGTTTAAGTTGTACAGGTAATAACTATCTTTTCACCCTAAATTTCCAAATTTTCCATTTAATTGCTCTACACAATCATTGATGATCTGAAGCTATTGCTTCAACTTTTGAAGTTATATCGTTTGATGAAGATGTTTATGTAAAGAAAGTAGGGAGAAGGATATAAATAGAGAAAATAACATGAATTAGTGATTGATCAACTTAATTTTGAAATCCGTAGAGGGAAAGACTAAAATTTTCAAAATGAGGAAGACCACAAAAAGTGTAAATACTTAATTGATTAATGACACAAATGCAAATTAAGGCATTCACCTACCATTTGTTTTGGAGCACCTATTATACTATCATCTATTTTTGAGACAATCTTTTTAATTATAGAAAGGTAACAACTAATAAGTGATAGCATATATTACAAAATCAAGAAGAAATTGATAATCTTATTGTAAAAGAAGCTGCGGATAAAACATGACAAGTGCTGTCACTTTAAGTGAGGCAAGTAAAAGAAATTCAATAAAAAGAAAAAAACATTGTGACACCTTCCCAAAAGCCAAAGAATACAGATAAAAAAGAAATTCAATAAAAAGAAAAACAATAAAAACAGAATGAAAATACCACAAGCACCATGTCTTAAAAAAAAAAACTCTAAAATGATTCTATTGCAGATAAATGGCATAAACTTACAAGACATATATGTATAAAGTTGTGCTGTGCATATTGTTACTCGTCAAACTATATACTTACCATGTAATCCATGCCATCGATGCCTTATCTGTCTTTCCTTGAAATCTTGGCATTGTCCACAAAAAGCTCTAATATAATGTAAATTCTCTTGGTCGTAAAGCCTGATATCAACTTTCAAAAATGTACACCATTTAGACCACCAAGACAACTTAATGCAGTTTTAAGTAATAATTCAGCTTATAAAACTTTGAACTATGGAACTTTGGTTTAAATATTTGGATGGTATAAGTTCAAATGCCCTCCAATTCATTCAAGAACCACTGTCTCCTTTGTTTGGATGGTTTTTGCTGTTCTCTTGTAAATGTAGAATCTTGGGATTACTATTCAGCGTAAGGGATTTCAAGGGTGAACTGATCAGATGAAGAGTAGGCATCAGAGAATTTGCTTGAACCTGCTGTGTACTTGAGCTCAAGAATTGGAAGTTATTGCTTTGTCTGGGATCACTCTCTACAGAAGCAGTCATATATGGAGGCAATGAAGGAAGAATCGTAGGAATTGTTGCTGCAGAAGGACAGAAACACAGCTGAGAACCAGACGGGAGAGCCATTGAAGATCCCAGAGATAAGGCATTATGACTTTGAGAGTCTTCGGGTTGCATTGGAATATTGGAGTGGCCTCCTAATTGAGATAGAGACAAGTTTGAAGCCTCCCACTGGTAATAAGGATTGTATGGCAACGGATTGGGTAACAAGCTTGGAAAAGAAGATAGATTGGCTACCGGGAAGAAGTTTTGAGCTGTGAGCTGAGCAGCATAACCCTCCATACCCTCCTGCTCATTTGATGCAATCCACTTGTCTTTTCCTGCAGCGGCTTCTTTTTCAGCTTCCTTGCGATTCACTGCGACATCTGGATTCCAACATCTTGATCTATCCAAAATAGTTTGACTATTTCCATGAATATGGTCATTAATCTTTAGCCCCTGCTTGTTAGAGAGGAAACTTGGAGCTCCTACATCTTTCATATACGATGGATTTGCACAGAAGAAGTGGGGCAGATTTGATGAAGTTGCCGATGAGTGCTGAGAAAGTGCAATTGCCTGATGGAATTGACTGAAGCTTCCTGCTTGTATTTGCAGTGGTGGAAGTTTGTCAATCTCACTTTTAGTGGCATCAATCAACCAATCTACGACCTTGCTAGGTTGGCTGAGCCCAAGTCTATCCTGAAGATCGTACAACTGAATTGCAGTGGGCACTGAAAGTCTAATCCTCCTATCTCTCAGTCCCCTTACGGTGCACACTTTGCTATGCCTATCTTTTCCCCCAAAAGAACGCGAAACACGTACTATTCTTGGATTTCTAAAGCCTGCCCATGGTCTTGAAGTAGATGCGCTTTTGGAGAACTTGCTATCATTGACATCTCCTTCTTGCTTTGTTTGAAAAGCTTTGTCCTTTGAATTCATGATCATCTAGTAAGTTCCTTCATAATTCTCCTGCAACAAATCAATCAAACTGAGAATGGATGGCTTCATCTATTGAAGATAAAATGGTTTTGTAATTCTGAGTTTCATAAGCAGGAAATTAAATTTCTCTAGGTTTCTCTGGGTAATCCAATATTTTTAATAAAGTTTTCCAAGATAAGGAAACTGAATATCTTAGCTCAAAAAACTGATAATTGGTTCTCCATAATCTTTGGCACAGTGGTACTTATTTTACCATAAGTTTTTAGCCATTTACATACTGAAAAATAAGTCAGTACACCTGTAATTCAAAAAAGGCTAACATATCAATTAAAGATCTTTTCAGCTCAGCTTCTTCTTGAAGGTTTTGTTTGTGATAGATTAAGTTCGCATATCAAAGTTCAATGAAAATTAAGCTAATTCTAGCTAGGGTTAGAATTTTGAAAAATTTCTCAAGCATACTGCAAACCCTGAACCATTTTGAAGACGGTACATGAAAATATCATCTTCGTCTTTTTAGCTTTCCATTTTTTGGGAACAAATCATGCTGAAAAAAATATGAAAGTGCTTCTATGGCTCTTTCAGATCTGCAACAAAAGAGGTATCATTAGACGAACTCACACCTGGTGTTGCAGCTGATCGACTTGATTCTTGATTGGTTGTAAAGAAGGACCCCGATGACCTTGAAAACTCCGGAGTTTACTGTTGCATCAAAATAAGCTGTAGGGGGCACTGAAAACTCCGGAAATCACTTTCCCATCAATATAAGCTGTAGAAGCAGTTCGAGGTACAAAAAAACCTAATTTATGTGCGGGCAATGAGCTCAATCACAGATTTGTTATAATTTAGGGAAAGAAGAGTGCCAGAATCTTACCATGCCATGTTGCACAGTAAAGGTAAAGGAAAAGGTATGGCACAATTGCAACCATGTGGCATCTATCAGTAGTGACACGTAGTTACGTCTTTTGGGAATAATCAATTTATATGTTCATAATTCGTTTTCTTAAAATTCCATATTAGAAGAATAAAAGAGTACATATTGGAATACCAGTGACAAGATGGACACTTGATCTAGTCATCTGTGAAGTTCACATTCGGTTTCTTGATTGTCGTAGTTTAAATGGTATCTAAGCATAAGGTAGACTGTGTCCTTCAAATGGGACCATCCTATCTATGCCTCAGGAAGGAGATTTGATGCTTTATTGCTCACCACTGGCTGCTTTATGAGCCTGATCTTTTGGCATGAACTGAAGAGTGCATGCCCTAGCTAGCTCCATGAAGAGAGAGGAAAAAATGTGAGCCCTTCCTTCGGATAAAGTCTTTTTATTTGTTACAAGTAGTTCTGATGTTAAGGCCTTTTTCGAAATAGAATGTCAATTTCAGCCTACCATGTGAAATGATAAAATTTAGCTTCATAAATGGTACAAATTCCAGCAAAAGGCTGCTAAGGTTGTGATGGAGTTTGAGTTAGAGCTTCATTAGCTGGACAAGATTATTGGTATCATCTACCTCATAGAGGATGGACCAGTTTATTTAGGTTCTTTAAAAGCTTACACTTAGTACAAACAGGACCACGTACAGTATGAACTGAGATTGCATGTAGCAGTTAGCAATTTTTTTTTCCCTTCTTTTTGTTGCTCTAGCCATCTTATCTTAGTTACTAGCTTAAGCATTCATTTTTCCCCCTCAACAGCATCATGAAATCCATCATCGGAAGTGTATAATCACAGTAAATTCCAGTAACTTTTCTTAATTAAAGGGTTTGCTATTTTGCTACAAAAGATAGTTTCCCTCCATCTCGCGCAAATTTGTCATGTTTGTTACATTTTCTTGTTTCAAATTAATTATCATCTTAGAAAAGTCAACCCATTCTCTTCAATAAAATTTTGTCTTTACTTTTTATGTGGCCTACCACTTATTTCCCACAATTAACAATACGTCAAATATAAGATGTCCCATCACTAAAGATATAAAAGGGAAGTAAAAATTCTCTTTCTTACTAATATCATTTTACATAAATTGCATGTTCTCCGAAAAACAACAAATTTTATGGAAAGGAGGGAGTAATAAAGTTTCTACTAAAAATTCAATGAATCACTTTAAGATCAGCTGGTCTAAGTCAGAACAAATGAGAACTATATTTAATCTAACTTTAGGAGCTTGAAGCTTTAATTGCTTTCGTTTAGACATCATATCTCAGAACTTAGAACCATTGTAGCTTAATAGCAGTGCCATGCAAAATCATCTTCTGTATAGTATCCGTGGTTCTTTTGAATAGTCCTATTCAAGTAAACAAACATGAAATGAGTGTTCAGATAGCCAAAAGGTAACATAAGTAGGTAAATAAGTTTTTTGTTGTTGTATCTTATTTTCGTCATGCGAGGGATGGCTAGGGAGGGCCCTTACTTTGACTTAACTGCCAAAGAACTAGAGAGTTGAGGATTAACCACTAATTAACAGCAATTGTGGGCGGCAGAAAGTATCTTATAGGAATTAAATCGCTATATATTGTACCTCACAAGTCCAACTGCATTATTCCAAAAGGCTAATCCATGAATATACAAGGCCTAAGTATGTACAATCCTTGACACTCTTACCACGCAGATTTTGATAGTCCCTTTTCGCTAATTGAATAAGATGACAACCAAGGATTATTTGACATACACCGGAAAGAAGTTGAAATTTCTTTTTCTTGTTTTTTAGTTCTTGGAAACCCTACCCTCTGGGCTTCACATACGTCTCTGCTGGACATCACGAGAAGATTCGATTCAAACTATCACCATTTTAGTGGGGTACCACAGTAAATAGACACAGCAGCAGTAAAGGGACCCCATATCCGAGACATGACTTCTGTTTTCTGCAGATACAAATGTAGTCTCTGCTTATTCCATTTATATGTAAATTTCTTACAGTGCTGAGAGATTCTCATGCAACATTTACTTAAACTTCTTTTCACTCTCACACAAGTAATAAGAAAAACATAAAAGTCATTTATCCAATCGGGGTTCTCATTTCTTAGTGGAAAGATTCTGAGTATCGTTACTACTATGTATTTTAAATGTTTTCCCCACTATTTAAACTATCTAAGAGAAAATCAGAAACCTAGTCGGATAGAATCTCTGCATTTCTAGGAAACTAGCTTCGGATAAACAAAAATCCCAATAGCTAGTACAACAAGGCTATATTGGGTTATAGAATTTGTAGATATCGATTTCCAAGATTAAGATTTAAATACCCCAACGAGATTATGTGATGTTTTGCAAATACCAATTAGGTACAAGCAGTTAGATTTCTTTTTTTTTTTTTACTTTTTTTTTCTTTTAAACTGCCAATTGAAGTGGTCCTGGTTCGAAGTTCGCAAATCCAATCAGATAGAAAGTCCAGTTCTCGATCAGCAAAAACTGGAATTACAACATGTTACTCCCACTAGACTTCTTTTTTATCACTTTCTTGAGGTTTGTAATCCCGTAGAGAAGATATTACGTTTATTTTCTTGAATTCTCCAATGTTCTTTTGTTCTTTTTCGGATATACATAAACATATATCCACAATTTTTTCAGGATTTGAGATAGAGATGAAGTAGCAAATTATGCTGCTGGTTAGCCTAAAGAAAGTTGAGAAAACAAAAAGGAAAAGGAAAAAACCTTACACATATCCCTTGTTCAGATGGAGATTGAGAGTTTGAATAATTCAGATAGACTGTGAGCTTTCTCAAGGGTTGACAAAATAGTAGGATAATTTTGCTATGTTAGTTGCTGATGGAAGATCACACATCTTGTACTGACTAGTAAATAAGAAAATCTCATACTCTTCTATCCTACTTTTTTGCCTTTACTAGGATTTTCTGTTGAAAAATATGGAAGTCATATAGTCTGCAATTCTCTATCTCTTGTCCTAATTGTTAATTGTTGATGGAAGATCAGACACCTTCTACTAACTAGTGAAGCAGTAAAACTCGTATTCTAATTGTCGGGGAAACCGATTAATTTCCCATTCAAAAAAATTACAACTACCAAATAAATACATAATAAAAGAGATAAGAAGAGAACACACCCGAAATTGACAACGAATTTCGGCCAAAAGTGCCTAATCTCCAAGCACTGCCTAAGCAACCTGCTCTTATTAATTTGGGAGAAGAAAGAATACAAACTTTTTGGTGTCTACCAATTGGGAGGCGAGGATGTTAATTTATAACTCTCAAACACTCCCCCCAAGACCTATCCCATTGATGTGAGATAGAAACTTATGCCAAAAAAGTCAACAAATCTCTACCTTGGCATAATTTCTAGTCCCACCACAAATACAAACCTTCTCACTCAAACAAAATAACAAACGGTCCTTGTGGTACTTTCAAATTTGCGCCCTCAAGCGCCAACTCAAATGTGCAGGATGTTGACCAAGTCTAAACAATGTTCAAACTTGGATCTTATAATCATCTTGGTCAACATATCTGCAGGATTCTCCATAGTCCGAATCTTTTGAAAAAAAATCTCCTCTTCTTCGAGAATTTCCCGCACGAAATAATAGCGAACATCAATGTGCTTCGTTCTTGCGTGCAAGACCTGGTTCTTCGCTAAGTGAATAGCACTCTGACTGTCACAAAACACGTTAATATGTTTTTGACCAACTCCCAAGTTTTCAAGCAACCCTTGAAGCCAAATTGCCTCCTTCACAATTTCGATAATTGCCATATACTCTGCCTCTATTGTAAATAAAGCCACTGTTGACTACAAAGTAGATTTCTAACTAACTGGTGCCTTGGCAAACGTGAACAAGTAGCCAGTTGTAGAACGTCGCTTATCCAAGTCACCTGCATAGTCAGAATCACAATATCCAACTACACATTGACCAAGTCATTCATCCTGCTCAAATACTAATCCAACATCTACAGTATCTTGGATATATCGTAAAATCCATTTCACAGCTTGCCAATGACACTTGCCCGGATCATGCATAAACCTGCTTCCTACACTAATTACTTGTGAAATGTTGGGTCTCGTACACATCATTGCATATATCAAGCTACCAACTGCATTAGCATACGGAACTTTCGCCATGTATGCTTGCTCTTCATCCGTTTTTGGAGATAATAGGCTGCTAAGTTTCAAATGAGGAGCAAGTGGAGTGCTTACAGGCTTTGAATCTCCATTCATACCAAACCGTTGTAGTACCTTCTCTAAATACTACTTCTATGTGAGACAAAGCTTGCCTCTCATTCTATCCCTACTTATCTCCATGTCGAGAATCTTCTTGGCTTATCCCAAATCCTTCATCTCAAACTCTTTACTCAACTGAGCCTTCAATTTATCAATTTCAACTTGGCTCTTTCACACTATCAACATATCATCAACATACAAGAGCAAGTAGATGTAGGACTCATCTCATAGCTTGTGCAAATACACACATTGATTGCATATGCTTCTTGTGTACTTCTGGCCCATCATGAACTGGTCAAATCGTTTATACCATTGCCTCGGTGATTGCTTCAATTCGTACAACGATTTGCTTAGTTTACAAACCCAATTCTCTTTACTAGCAACTTTGAATCCATCTGGTTGAGACATATAGATTTCTTCCTTCAAGTCACTGTGAAGGAACACGGTCTTCACATCAAGTTAAGCTAGTTCCGAATTCAACTATGCTACCAAAGCTAACAGGATTCTAATAGAAGAATGTTTAACAACTGGAGAAAATACCTCATTATAATCAACTCCCTCCTTCTGAGTGTAGCCTTTAACCACCAATCTTGCCTTGTAGCGAGCATCATTCTTGTCAGGAAATCCTTCTTTCTTTGCAAATAGCTATTTGCCTCCAATTGCCTTCTTGCCCTTCGGTAGTT